CTCCCCGCGTCCGCTGACGGGGCTCTGGTCCCTCTTCCAGCACCAGGCCTACGAGTTCCAGTTCGGGGCTGCTTACGCCTGGATGATGTGCGTCTTCACCGTGGTCATGACGTACAGTATCACCTGCCCCATCATCGTCCCCTTTGGTAAGTCCTGCCCTTCCTCCGCCCTCTGTCAGAGGCTGGGGAGAGCTGGAGGCGCAGGGAGGCGAGAAGGGTGGCGTAGGGACGTATTCCCTGTCAGTCAGAGGCTGATTCCCTGCTCTGCTGGCATCCCTCCCTCTCTCCCAGGGCTCATGTACATGCTGCTTAAGCACCTCGTGGACCGATACAACTTGTATTATGCTTACCTACCTGCCAAGCTGGACAAGAAGATCCATTCAGGGGCTGTGAACCAGGTGGTGGCAGCCCCCATCCTCTGCCTCTTCTGGCTTCTCTTCTTCTCCACCATGCGCACAGGTGAGCGCTGGGATGGCATGCCAGCCCCTGGCCTCCTACAGAGCTGCTTCTCCTGCCAGGTTGTGGTCCTGGTAGCTCCCAGATGTGGAGCACAGTCGTCGTCCCTCTGACACTACCCACTTTGGTTTTCCTTTGACCCAGGGTTCCTGGCCCCCACTTCCATGTTCACCTTTGTGGTCCTTGTGATCACCATTGTGATCTGCCTGTGTCACGTCTGCTTCGGGCACTTCAAATACCTCAGCGCTCACAACTACAAGGTGAGGCAGAGTGCTGGGTGGGGCTGTGGGACCCTTCTCTTTGGGAGCACACCTCAGCTGTAAAACAGCAGGGGCTCTAGGAGGGGTCCCAGTCTGCTCCCTGGCAGAGCCTCAACTCTGGCTTCATGGAGAGGACAGTCCCAAGGCTGTCCCTGCTGCCTGTATGCTGCTCCTAGGATGGGACAGCAAATGTGTTGCCTGTTTCTCAATTTCTGCTTTCTCTCCAGATTGACCACACAGAGGTGGATGCCATAGAAAACAGGCAGAACGGGAGACCTGCCACCAGTCTGACAGCTCCCAAATCAGCTGTGAGTCCTTGTCCCCGCTTACATGCCCTGGTGTGCTTCTTACCCAGTTTTGGAAGGGGGAGGTAACTCCCTAAGTACCTTGCTCCTCACCTCTCTGAGGCAGCATCTGGATTCTCCCAGAGAGGGTAGGAGGCAAATGTTGGGTGCTGTGCCCCTTACCTGAGTGGGGTGATGAATTGTAACATGTGCGTGCACACACACAACCCCTTCATCTGGCTCCTCAGACACTGTGCATTTACTTTCTGCCTCTCTCAGCTAGGACAGTGAATCCAGCCGGGTCAGTCTCCCTTCTCATTCTGCATCTCTTTATGCTTGCCCATCAGCAAAGGCTGCCACCCACCAGGCTGGTCCTAGCGCCACCACAGGAGGGGTCTCTGTGGGCATGGCCTTGAATGCTATGAAAGTGCTTTGAGGTCTTTCCCCTGCCCAATTCTGAGATGGTAGATTCTGTTTTCTGAACTTGCCCTTGACTCACTGGCTTAATCCAGCTGCTTCCTTCTACCATGAGATTTTTCTCTCTGGGGTCTGTGCAGGTCTCTTCGGGGGGTACGTGCAGAGATGGAGTAAAGCAGAGCCTCCTGCTTCCTCAGGAGAGCAGGGCTGTGGTGTGCACGTGTAATCCAGGCTCTGTCCCAGTGTCTGTGTGCCTAAGGGCAGCAGCATCTATCCAAAAGGAGATGCTCCACAGGAGGCAGGCACAACCTCAGAGGGACACATCCACTGTCAAAAAGAAGGGAGCAAGGTCTTCCAGTCCACGTGGGTTCCAAAGAGCTGAGAAGCCCCGTGCTCTCCCAGCCCTGGCTCCCTGGGAATGCTGCCTGTCCCAGGATGCTGGGGTTTGGCAGATCCACTGTTGCGGGGTCAAGCCAGCCCCGCTTTTACCCCCTCTCCCAGTACCTCCCGTGGTGTCTGGGCCCTTCCTCACCCTCAGCGTGTCCCCACACCCAACCTCTTGCATGGCTTTGTGTGGTGTGCTCTGGTGCCACGAGAGACCCCCCGGGGCTTACGTGTGCCTCTGCTCTCTCCCCACGCCGTGCCTGTCCCTGGCAGAAGTACATCGCCCAAGTGCTGCAGGACTCCTCGCCGGAGGGTGAAGCGACAGAGTCGGAGGAGCAGGGCTCGCAGGATGAGGAGCTCATCAATGCCGACGGCATGAATGACACGGATTTCCAGTCGTGTGAGGACAGCCTGATAGAGAACGAGATCCACCAGTAGGGACCTCGGCGGGCAGGAGGGAAGGAGGCCCGGGAGCGGGGCAGGCTGTGCGCACGGA